TAGTACACTTACCTTTTCCAGCCAACCCGGCAGGCTTAGAATCGTGAAAAACAGACACTAACTCAGAATGCTAATGACTCAGCGTCGAACCCCTTCTGCCACGCTTCCGTGGGTCTTTTACTTTGAATAGAAAGCCTGACGCATCGACCCATGAAAACACACACGAAACGGGCCACGAGTTCAACTTCGCTGCCATCAAGATACTCGCCTCCGCCAGAAACAAGACGAGCCGAGAATTGATTGAAGCCCGGACCATAGATGGGAACTCAATCAATCGATTTAGCGCCGGCATACAGAGACCTGCACAGTCACCTGCAGACGTGGGTTACAGAAAGTTGATTGGCGTATACCGCCTATAATTGCCCCCTTTTTGTTGCTGCTGTTACCTCTGAAGATTAACCCCTGGACGAGTTTGAAATCTCAGGACCAACCTTCGTCTTTACTAAAACAAAACGTAACAGCTGATGTTGATTCGCGCAGCTTTTCCGGATTTTTTGGCCATTCCGAAAGGATTTGATGTTTCTCCAGCAACCTTGCTTACCAAATTCCCGCTGATATGACACATTCACACTCATAAGAAGTACGATTTCAGCCCAAGAGGCTGAGGACCAGTTTATATGCCAAAGTTAATTTAGATCAACCCAGAGGCATAAAAGTATGATGTATTCGGCTGTAATATGGCCTCAGCGTCCCTACTCTTGACTGCGGGTATGTTTACCTGAAATTCACAGGAAGAGGGGGGAGGAAATCGTGCAAAGGAAAAAGAACCGCGAAGAAGGGGGTGTTTGAGAGACTATGAAAGAGCACGACCCCAGAACGCTGGCCCTCCTGATACCGGTGTTAGGCGAGCTTGGAAGGGCAAGCGAAGACTGGAAAATAGTTGGGGGGAGGAGGCGGCGGGGGAGGGGCAGTGAAACAGCAATGGTTGATATTTACCACAAAAACCGGAAGTACAAAAATGACAGGATTATTAGAACGACTCCGATTATGATTAGGTACTTTGTATAGGCTGATTGGAGGTTTAGAGCATTTGCGTCTTGCCGGTAGTTGCGAGAGAGGCTTGAAAGATCATTGGCCTGCGCATCCAGTTCTGAAAGTATGGAAAAGCATAAGTTATAGATGAGATGTGAAGGGAAGGAGACGACGAAATTCTAGCCATCAGCAACAAAGGGATCTAATTTTATTAGCAGATACAGGGTGTCCCAAAAAATGTATACACATTTTAAATAATTGTAAACTTGGTGTTTATAATAATTTTATTATTTTACGAATGAAAACAATATTTACAAGTATTATTTTATTGTATTTTCAATGTATTTTGACTATCACAACAGTAGCTGAATTGAGAGATGCAATTAAGCATGAATGCACCCGAATACCAAGGGAATTGTTTCATGGTGTGTGCGATTCCATTGCTTCACATATTCAGCAATATCATGATCAAAATGGACGTCAGGTTGAGAATATCCAATGAAAAAACAATACAATGATACTTGTAAATATTTTTACATTTTTGAAACACTAAAATTATGATAAACACTAATTTTACAATTATGTAAAATGTGTATACATTTTTTGGGACACCCTGTATTCTACAGGCTGCAGGATAAAAATTAGAAAGGATCACGTTACTGCAGTGGCCTTGCAGCACTACTGCCTCCTCCCCCGTCACGCCACACATGAGGTCAGGTGATGGCCATTTCGGTCATCCATCGGACAGCTAATCACAGATGCCAAAAATCGCGCCAACCCTCAACCCCTTGTGGTTGC